AATATCCTAGCTACGAAACATTAGCAAAAATTCGAAGAGACAAGCCAGAAGAAAGAGTAGAAGGAACAGTGAAGAACATACCACAGGTCCACCGACCCTTTGAACGGAAAAAGGCCTCGTCTCGATTGACACATGAAGGATGGTATACCTTCGGACAACCCCTAGAAACAAAATAAAGGAGAAGTTCATACAAAAGAAGCCCAGGCACAATGAAAAGCCAGATGAAGCATACTAACCTTCGATCACAAACCACAAGGTCACCTCCATCAAAGCATATAAAGCACACTTCCTCTTCCTCTTTCCTCTTCAAGGGAGTCCTCGCAACCTGAGACTTAGTCGGTCGGCCCCTTTTCCGCCGCCCTCCACCTGCTTGCACAACGACCAGTGTGTCATCTGTCTCTGCATCCATCTGTGCTGCCTCATCATCCATGGCATCAGTTTTGCCATAAGACGTGGAAGCTGCATCAGGCTCAATTGCGGCAATGTTCTCATCTCCTCTATCAGAGACAGAGGGAAACTCATCAAGAGAGCCCCGAAGCATTTTAGTTCCCATCTCAGCATTCACCATCTGCTCATATAGGGGAAGTGCCACATTGTCCAGTGTGTCTGCACAAGCCAATGCCACCTCTTTCACAGCATCATCATCACATGTGGTAGCAACAGCAACAGGCTCACAGGATGCTATTTTCTCAAGTCCTCCACCAGAGCCAAAGGGCAACATAGCAGAGGGGCTCTTAGGCATTGAAACATCCACCTCCTCACACACATCCGCCTGCTTGCATGTGACATTTGGCAGACCATCAACATCTATCTGTGGCACTTCCTCCTCCACAGTAGCAGTATCATCTGCATTGTTGGCAGAGGTGTCGACATCAAAGGCACCAAATTTCAGGAGACCACCATTCAAACCAGAGGAGGATACAGCTGGTGAGCCCTGAGGCATCAAAACCTCTCCCTGAACACCATCCTTCCCTTGATGACATTGGGGAACTGGAGCACTATCTACATACATCTTTGGTGCCGCCTCTTCCACAGCATCGTCATCACATGCATTGGTATCCGTGGCATCACTCTCAAAGGCAGCAAATTTCAGGAGAGAGCCACCAGAACCAGAGGGAGATACAGCAGGCGAGCCTTGAGGCATCAAAACCTCTTTCTGGACAAAGTCCTTCCCTTGATTGCATTGAGAAATTGGCACACTGTCAACATCCATCTTTGACATTGCCTCTCTCACAGAATCTTTTCCACCAGCACTGGAGGTGGTTGCGTCAGACTCAAAGGCAGCAAATTTCAGGAGACCACTGTCAGAACGAGAGGATGACACAACAGGCAAGCCTTGAGGCATCAAAATCCCTCGATGCCACTGGGGAATCGGGACGCTATCAACATCCATCTTTGACATTGCCTCCTTCACAGAATCTTCCTCACTTGCATCAGTGGCGTCAATCTCAAAGGCAGCAAATTTCAGGAGACCACCATCAGAACCAGAGGGTGGTACAGCAGGCAAGTCTCGAGGCATCAGCACTTGTTCCTGAACAAAGTCCTTCCTTTGATGCCACTGGGGAATTGGCACGCTGTCGACATCCATCTTTGACATTGCCTCTTTCACAGAATCTTCCTCACATGCATCGGTGGCGGTGGTAAGAATCTCAGAGGCAGCAGGTTTCAGAAGACTACCATCAAAACCAGAGGAGGGCACATCAGGCAAGCCTTGAGGCATCGATACTTGTTCCTGCACACCGTCCTCTCGCTGCGACTGGGGAATTGGCGTCTTTTCAACCTCTTCCAGATCCATCCGCAGTGGCTCTTTCAAGAGGTCATCATCACCAGCAGCGATGTCGCTTGCGTCAGGCTCAAAAGCCTTAACTTTCTCAAAACCGCCATCAGAAAGGGAAGGGGACGCTGCAAGGGAACCCCGAGGCATCGAAACCTCTGCCTCGCGGTGATCGACCGCCTGCTCGCACTGCGTAATTTGCGCGTCATCGGCTTCCTCCAAACTCTCCCTTGCTGCCTCCCCGCCGACAGCATCACCATCACCAGCGGGGGCGGCATTGCCGACAACCTCCAAGGCCACAAGTTTCGGGACAGCTAGGTCAGAGCCGGAAGGGGGCGAGGATGACAAGGATCCACACTCCGCCTGGTGGCATCGAGGAGAGCCGGGCTCGCCGGCCACCGGCAGCTGCGGCGACGATGGCGGTGGGTTATCGTCGCCTGGTGGACTTGGGGGATAGGGCTCAGCGACGGCCGATGAATCCTCTCCTCCTCCTCCTCCTACTGGTTCTTCCATGGATCGTTTCAAGCCAGGGATCTTGGTGATTCCCAGCTAGGGTTTCGGAAAACCCTAATTATCGTCGTTTCCACCCGCTCGAGCAAAGCAAGAAGGGGGCGTTCGGGCTCTCGATTTCCACTCGCTACAATTGTTGATGGAGATTTTTCCTTCTTATTCCTTCTTTCCTAATGGAGACAAAGAGCTGTGATGGGATTTCATTCCGTCGCGAGGGTAAATAATCGTGAGCATCTCGGATCGGCTTCCACGACGACTGAAATGGACGGCCGAGATGGAAAGTGGAAGAGAGATGGACGGTTCCTGGGACGAGAGTTGTGAATAGAAAAGCTGTCTTCACAGTCCGTATACGTCGGACCCCTTTCCACACGTTTCCTGTGCAAGCCATCCTTAGTTTAATATCATGATTTGATGGCTATTTATCACATAACCCCACTTTATTAATATTTCCTTTTATTTTCTCAGTCTTCGCCTCTTTACTGCCTAATCCAACTTTTTCTTTAATTCTATTCCTATATAATATGCATTATTTTAGAAAAATATATATATATGAGGGATGTATTCCACAAATTTTTATGATAAGATTATCTAAGTGACTTGTGTGTTGAAGATTTGAGCTGAACCCACCCATATTTTAATTTAATTTTTTTATCTATAAATACTATTTTCGGTGTATTTTATACCATATTTAAATTAATAAATATAAACTGGTGAGAAAAGGAGTTCAGTATCTAAAAAATATTAATTATAGTATTTTTCAAAAAAGTATGATTAGTAATATTCTTCAAAAAATAATATCAATATTAAGTAGTAGGTTATGGTGTAATTAATTTTCCTTTGTGTTATTGCACTAACCGTAAATATCATCGGTGAAAAAGAAGAAAAAGAATATATCGATAACTTTATTACTTATTATACGGCGATGATTCGTATTGACGATGAACCTCGATTAATCAATCGAAACTTGTTATCTACGTGTTACTAGTAGGGCAAATTGATAAGTAAATCTAAATGTTACATGTAGGATCATGGTATGTAATTTCGGTATCGAGCGGTACGTATCGATCCGACGACATACTGGTACGCATATTGTGTTACGATTCTACAGTAATACATTGTAGCGGTGCTATAGTGTTATAGTAGTTACACTATAGCAGTTCTACAGTACTATAGTAATCGCTCGGTAACCCTGGTGGATCGTTCGGTACGTCATGGTGTACCGTTTGATACGTTGGTACCGAGCCAATCTATGATACAATATGATATTACATACTTTGAATAGAATAATATGTTGACTTGACGAACTTTATCGACCTAATTTAGTTATCCTTTTGTTATTGTGATTAGATGGAAGTTAGTATCACACAAGATATTATTGGGAATCTCACTGGAATAAGCATTTAACTCCTTTGAGACTTGGAACATTTGCATTCCAATAAATTGTCCATAAATTCAGCAATTGAGAGTCACACGCGATTCACCAAATTTATCAACTCATAACCCATCTTCCCTGTGATGGATGAAACATCTGACAAAAATGAGAGTAGTGAGATATGTTCATGAGCAATTATTTTGTCTCCCATCATCTCTTAAATTGATTATCCAGGGGAAGGTTATCAGTGGGAAGATCATTTGATTTGATTTTTTTTTTGTTTTGTTTTTAGTTCTTAAAGCCTCATGTGAAAACTATTTACGAGGATTAGACTTAGGGTGTCTTTGAGAATATATTTTAAATATATATTAATAATTTATAATATATATTTTAAATATAAATTATTATGTGATATTTTTAAAAATCATATTTAATATAAATGTTGGATTTAAAAACACTTAAATATTGATGATATCTCAAGATAGTATTAGCATTTCAACATTTATAAGATGCTAATGTATTTTTTTAATTTTAAATAAATCCCAAGGATTAGAATGTTTGGAAATATATTTGAAATGTAGATTAAATGAAATGTAAAATTTTCAAAATGATAGTAAATTTAGGTTGAAATTTATTATAATGAGCTTTGATTTCACCAAAAATATAGAGTAATTTAAAATTCATGAAATATACAACTCATGGTATAATAACAAACAAAGCTTTTGAATAAAGTTGACATTTTTTTTATTAAAGGCTCTCTGAAATTTAATCCAAAATAATTTAATTAAAACTGTTTTGTTACGGATAAATTTAATATGAATTTTTTTATTAATTTTGATATATATTTTTACTTAAATTAAGGGTTAAATACGGATGAAAATGTACATTCCATGATGGAAATATCTAAATAAGGTGAATACAATCATTACTTATTACTAATAGTTTACTATGGCTTGTATTTTTAATATTATGCTTAAAAACACTAAATAAATTAATGTCATTGGACATGTGAATATTATCGCATTGTGATGATTCATTGCATCATATTTTAGCTTTTGATTATAATTAAGTAATCCTATGATTTTTACGTTACCAATTTTCACATGGTTTTTTAATATAAAATAATTCATAATTCTTTTTGTTTTGTTAGAATCGATTTTGTAGAATAATTATTTTTTATATTTTTATGAAGATAATAATATTAGTTATTTTCTTAATATATAAAACATAATAATATTATACATACATTATTAGAACGTTGGCCCATTTGCACACCTTTAACACGTTGTGTCATCTATACGTACGATAACAATACATACATAAATGATTGGGGAGGGGCGGCGAACAAAGCAGTAAACTCCGGTGTCCGCATAGCACTCCGTGCGCGATCCCATCTCCTCCAATCGCAGAGGACCAACACTTTGAATGACTCCATTGCTGCACACATCTGCCCTTTGTTCTTCTCCTCCTCCTCTCTCAACGCTGACCGCTGACCCTATCGCTTACTCCTTTCTTGCGTCTTTTCTTGGCAGAGTAGAGCGGCTTCTTCTCCGCTGGACCGGCAGCAACTGCTTAGGAGACAGCGGGAAGATGGCCACGGCGGAGCCGATCATGAACGCCTCGCTCGTCCCGGACTCCGAGCTCATTTCTCGGGCCGTCCAGGCCGCCTGTGGGACCATCCGCGCCGCCCGTGACGTCCTCGTCGAGCGCCACAGCTTTGCCGAGCTGGCCGCCTACCTGGACCGCGTCGTCCCCATCCTCGACCAGCTGAAGGCCACGACGCCCGCCGCGAACCGTGACGGCACCCTCGCCGACGCCGCTGGGATCCTCGCCCGCGAGGTCGAGGCCGCCCGGGCTCTCGCCCTCGATTGCGGCAAGCGCAACCGCATCTATCTCCTCCTCAACTGCCGCCGCATCGTCACCCGCCTTGAGTCCGCCACCAGGGAGATCGGCCGCGCCATTAGCCTCCTCCCCCTCACTTCCCTCGATCTCTCCTCCGCGATCCGCGACGAGGCCAAGCTTCTCAGCGATTCCATGGTCCGGGCCGAGTTCCGGGCCGCCGCCGCCGAGGAGGAAACCCTGCGAAAGTTGGAGTCGGCCATCCAGGAGCACAACTCCGACCGGTCCTACGCGAACAGCCTGCTGGCCCTCATCGCGGACGCCGTGGGGATCTCCAAGGACCGTACCGTTCTCAAGAAGGAGTTCGCGGAGTTCAAGGAGGAGGTAGCGGAGGCCAAGCTGCGGAAGGACCTCGCGGAGGCGATTCAGATGGATCAGATCATTGCCCTGCTCTCTAGGGCGGACGCCACCTCGTCATTCAAGGAGAAGGAGGTGAAGTATTACAGCAAGAGGAACTCGTTGGGGAGCCAGCCATTGGAGCCCCTCCAGTCCTTCTACTGCCCCATTACCCGTGACGTGATGGAGGATCCCGTGGAGACTTCTTCTGGGCAGACCTTCGAGAGGAGCGCGATTGAGAGGTGGTTCGCGGACGGCAACACCACTTGTCCGCTCACCATGACACCTCTCAACACCGGCTTCCTTCGGCATAACATCACTCTTAGGAAGTCCATCGAGGAGTGGAAGGAGAGGAACAACATCATAATTATCTCTTCGATGAAGTCCAAGCTCAGTTTGGACGACGAGGTGGTGCTCAGGAGCTTGGCCCAGCTGCAGGAGCTCTGTGAGGAGAAATTTTCGAATAGGGAGTGTGTGGTGATGGAGGATTACTTGCCAATTCTTGTCGGATTGCTTGGAAGGAATAACTCACAGATAAGGAATCACACACTCTATATTCTTCGATTATTGGTGGAAGACAGCGATGATAACAGGGTAAGGTTTCATTCCAAAAATATCTATGATTGCCTTACTAATAATATCTAGGTTGCTACCATGATGCCTATGATCCTTTTGGTACGGTGTAAACATTTCAATTTGTGTTGTTCACATGATAAGGATGATGGCTGCTAGTAAAGTACTAATAGCTCCTGAAATCATCAAAAGTGAAATTCTAGAATAGTTTGCTGCAGGAAAAAATAGCTGAAGTGGACAATGCCATTCAATCCATTGTGAAATCTCTTGCACGGCGCACCGATGAACGTAAAGCAGCAGTAGCGTTGCTGTTGGAGCTATCAAAAAATAATGCAATTTGCGGCCATATTGGAAAGGTACAAGGCTGCATTCTTCTACTAGTGACAATTATAAACAGTGATAACAACCAAGCTGCTGATGATGCTAGAGAGCTTTTGGAGAATCTTTCTTTTCTAGATGACAACGTAGTGCTGATGGCAAAGGCTAACTATTTTCAGCCACTGCTCCGGTGTCTTAACTCAGGTACTTTTTTTTTATCTGGTTTTCTGGTTATTTAATCTTGAAATTGTTATTTGTTTACTCTTTCAAGACTACATTTTTATTCTAGAAATCATGATCATGACATAATTTCTTTGTGTTCTAATATTGGTTTCTTCATACAAAATTTTTATTGTTTAAGAGAGTAGCTTCCTTTATTGAAGACTTAATTAACCATTTCCTTTGCCTTTTCATCAACTGGTGAACATAAAGCAATTATTTCTTATAGTAGGATTTTTGTATTTGTCCAGAAGTTATCCCATTGTCTACTGTCCAGATGTTATTGCATGGCAATTATGTGCTTATTATTTTGTGTTCCTGTTTACTTAGTAATTCCTTACATTGATGCCTCTAATCATATTGAAAACTGTGCATCTTAATTTTCTAAATTTCTGTCTTGTTAAGACTAGCACCCTTCCTATGCAAAAGTAAATATTTTGTTCTTCAAACAAAGATTTATTTTCAAAAAAGAAAGTAAAATGGGACCAATTGATGGGGAGTGGAGAATACTCGGAGAGGATGGGAAATAGGAAAGCAGAGTATCAGGGCTTCAAACGAGAAAGTATAATAACAGAAGTATGAACGGAAGTAATTCATATAGTGCACATTTGTCTAATTTTAGCCTTCTACACGATGAGATGATAGGTTATAGAAGTGACCATTTTGTTGATTATGTTGAGACTTAAATCAATGACCTATCTCTTCTTCTGCAATCTCTGAGCAAGAAAGATTCATCCTAAAATACTGTCAGCATCTACAGCGGTGGATTTCTATCACTGATGACTTTCTAGCTCAACAATGTCATCGACTCTGCTACTTTCTTGCAATAAACCTAGTAAACGGGTCTTTCATGATAGGAGCCTAGAATTATTCATATATGATGAAGGTACGATATCACCATATTGAGAAAATGATACTAATGGGAGACATGCAACTGATAAGGAGAATGGTTCCAGTCTGAGTTCATTTATTTTGCAAGATTCAACCCCATTAAAATCTCATTTAAGCATTATAGGTTAATTTTCACTCCAAATTTTTTAAAGAATTAATATTTGATCATGTGTAATTATTTGAAAAATCATTGATTCTTCTTGAGTAAATCTTTCTGTATTTCTCTTTGATTCGTGTTTCTCACTTTGTATCAATGCCCATCGTTGCCTTTCCTCATTCTCCTTTCTTATTTCGTATTTGTGAAGCCCTTTGCACGTTGACTTGCCCCATTACCTTAAGAAGATTCTATAGGATGGGTACATGTAACAATCAGATGTAGTTATCACCATACAGTATCTGAAATTTGCAGTATCATTACTCTCTTCTATATGTGCTTACCATACAGTAGCAGTCCACAATTTTTTAAATTATTTAACCTTAAAGTAAGTTGCTGTACTTGGCCATTCACGTAACGAGTAAATTTAAGTTTTTCTTTCAATTCACAGGCAAATTGATTACAATTGTCTTCTTCCTCTACATTCCTTGAGTTATAAATAAGATTTCATTATTTTATTCTAATCAGAAAGGATTTACCAAGATTGGATAAATAGTTAAAAAATATTGTCTTCTGGGTTCTTCTCTAGATTTTGTTGCTTTCTCATTTTTCCGTTAATACTACACTTATGAATCCATCTAATTCCTTATCAAGGTACTTTTTCTGGGATGTTTTTCCTCAATATGAAACAGAACATTCGTCAAGCCTTTTTGTATCATAAATTCAAGGGATAGTTTTCGCCAAAAATAAAGCAGTCTGGCATGAAGTTCTTTGTTTGTTGTCTAAGAAACGTAGATGAGTAAATGTTTTCTTACCTACTCCATCAAAACTTCTATGATTATATGAGGTCTTTCTGAAATGATTTAGATGTTTTTTGCAACTTACTCTTTGTAAAAATATAAGCATGAAAGATTACCTTATATTTTTCAAGTACTCAGAATTTAGATTTTCAGGTCCAGAGTATTTGAAAATGAAAATGGTAAAAGCATTAGCTGAAATGGAATTAACTGATCATAGCAAGGAGACCTTGTTTAAAGAGGGAGCATTGCAGCCACTTCTTCAGATGCTCTCATTAAGTGATGCAGATGGAAAAAGAATGGCCATTAAGGCTATTCAGAAACTCTCCAGCTTTGGTCCTAATGGTTTACAGATCATCAGGGACGGAGCAATTTCACCACTTCTTGACCTACTATTCCAGGCAATACCAGCATCTTCCAATCTAAGAGACCAAGTTGCAGCTACTATTTTGAATATCACTGTATCAGCCGCTGCCTTGCAAACCAATGAAGCCCTGAGTATTCTGAAATCAGATGCTGAAATTTCTCGGCTCTTTTCCTTGGTGATGCTGACTGGGCCAACTATACAACAAAGCATTCTAGGAACATTTTATGCGCTGTGCCAGCTTCCATCAGCGAAGGACATGAGAACTAAGTTGAGGCAGGTAACTATTTGTCCAAGCCATCTTCATGAAAGCATGGCAATTAAGTTATTTTATTATATTCATTGTACAAATTCAATTTCTGAAATTTTATTTTTATCAGTTCATCTCCTTTTCTGTTCTTTTCTTGTTCTGAACTCCCTACATAAGACGTATAGTTTCATTTATTATTCCAGAAATAATCTACAGTATCTAGTCTTATCCCACTGACGAAAACATTGTTCTCTTTTAGCATTTTTCGAGATTATTTTGTAATCTTGATTTTTTTTGGTTTCATGCAGTTTTCTGCAGTCCAATTATTAATTTCACAATGTGAGCACAGAGATCTTTCTGTAAGAGCAAGTGCTGTTAAACTGCTATCTTGCCTCATGGAAGACGGAGATGATAATGTGTCAGCTGAAAGTGTTACTCAAAGGTGTCTGGAGACTTTGCTTTCCATTATCAAAACCTCTAAGGATGAGGAAGAGGTAGCTGCTGCATTGAGAATCATTTCTGATCTTCCTATAGGGTACACCCATGTAACTCGATGGATTGCAGATGCTGGAGCAATAACAGTATTTGTCAGTTATATTAGAGATGCAAAGCTTAGTGGGCCCTTCAGGAATAAGTTAATAGAGAATGCTCTTCGAGTTTTGTGCCGTTTCACAATGTCAACAAATCCAGAATGCCAGAAAATAGCCGCTAAGTCTGGATTGATCCCCTTGCTTGTCCAGTTGTTGGGATCTGGCACTCCAGCTGCAAAACGATATGCAGCTACTTTGCTATGTCAGTTTTCAGAGAGTTCACTCAGCCTGAGCAGGCTGGTAGAGCGACATGGAGGTTTCTGGTGCTTTGCACCCCCACCTGAAATACGATGCCCAGTGCACAATGGTGTTTGTTCAGCGGAGACATCATATTGTCTTTTGGAAGCAGATGCCATAGGACCACTTCTGAGTTTGCTTGGAGACTCAGATTCCAGCATTTGTGATGCCGCTCTAAGTGCACTCTCAACACTCATAGAGGGCGAAAGGCTGCAAAGTGGCAGCAAGGTACTTCATGAGTCAAATGGCATTGCACCCATTGTAAAAGTTCTGAGCTCTCGGTCAACTGAGTTGCAAGAGAAGGCACTTAACGTTTTAGAGAGGATTTTTCGACTGCAAGAGTATAAGCGGATCTATGGTGCTTTAGCACAGATGCCTTTGGTTGACATAACTCAAAGAAGCAACGGTCCTGTTCGAGCTTTGGCAGCTAGAATACTTGCTCATTTGGATGTGCTTCATGATCAATCTTCCTATTTCTAAGAGGCAGTTATTTAGATGCCAGGATAAAGCTCAGTTCCAACTGAGTGGTATATCCACAAAAGTTCAGTTCAACATTCCATGCTTCATTTGGGTCACATGATAACTTGGAAAGGGATGAATGTGGTTTGTATCACGTTAAAGCCATCTGGAGGACTTGGTGAGACAATTCTCATTGAGCACACCGAAACAAGAAAGCTAGCCAGTGCGTGCTCCTATCACACACATCAATGCTGTTTTTATGTGGAAAAGAAAGAAAACCAAGTTCACCCTGACAAAACTTTCAGCATGATAGCTCACATTTGTCGCACAATCTAACCGCTTAGAGCTTTTGACATGGTTGAAGAAAGATATTGGGTAGCACGGTGTTTCTCAACTTGGCGACTGTTAAAGCTATCGGTTATTTCTTTAGGAAGGAACCAGAAGTTTTATGTACAATGTTGCACATGCAATCCACATTTCAGGTATCTTCAACTTCTAGCCCATTCTTTGAAGAGTCAACGTAAATTTGCTTCTTCATGAATGAATAAAATGTGTCTATTTTGTTTCTTCTTCAACATTCTATTTTGAGATTATTGATAAATTTATGCCCATATGAAGCTAATGATGCCTATCTCAACATGCTGATTGCTGATATTAGGTGTGAAAATTTTCATACCTTGTTCTATCATCTAATATTTGTTTTCATGTTAGAACGACTCTATCTTTGACATTGTCTTGTGACTATGGATGCTGCTTTGTTGCCATGTTTACACATGAGTAGGATTCAGTTCCATATCTTATCTGAGAATTGCTTGCGCATAAAATAGTGAGGGCAATGAGGAAAGGGCTCCGATATTAGTGTTGTAGAAGCTACACTGTGGTCTCAGAAAAATAAAGAGAATCATAAATACATGTACGGTAGTTCATAAAAAGAATCACAAATAACTGGAGGGATAATTAAATACTTACAATGTGAGAAACATAACACCACATAGTAAGAAAGAAAAGATCTTTAAGAGCAGCTAAGATAAAAGGAATCATTGCACTATAAGCTGTTCTATCTATTTGACAGCTGAAGAGGAACAATGATTCAGTATCACAGATGGTATAACTATGATGATCACACGCTTCCTCCACACATTACATCATATTATATAACAGACGACAATTGAACATACTGTGTCAGCATATACATAGAACTAGGCGTGCTTTTTTACTTCTAAAAACTCTTGAGGAATACTTTAGATCCGATGAAATCATAAGACGAAAGCGACTTACTTATATGCCCGCTTGGTACGAGGGTAATAGTCCCTCATGACCAGTAGATGAGGATTTCCAAGCTTCGCTAACCCTCCTTGCACTTGTTTATAAGCGGAAAAAGGGACTTCGCCTTCCTCTTTGCTCGATTAGTTCCACTTTTCTCTACCTCACAGACATGCTCATACACCCCCAACCGTAGCGCAGCTGAGACCAAAGAAGAATTATGAGTACCCAATTCAAGAAGTACGGAGAGTGCACATTCCTTGTTCTTGGGGGTGCCTTCTTTTATCAGCTGCACGACGGTTTCAATGAAAGGAAGCTGCCCTATGGCAGTGTGGCCATCAGGATGTGATGCCAGAAGAAGGAAGATCGAGAGGGCTTCATCCACCATGCCAAGGTTCTTGTCACACAGTACATTAAGCAGAGGAGCCACTATTCCTGCATCAATAGCTCTAGCCTTGTTCCCATAGTTCAGAACCAGATTAAAGAGTGCAGTGGCAGCATCCTTCTTCCCCCTAATGGTCCCATCCCGCAGAAGATCCACCAATGGAGGAATGCCATTCATGTTCCCTATCATCACCTTGTTCTCTTCAAGCATTGACAAACTGAACAAGGCTGTGGCCGAGTTCTCTTTAGCCTCAACCGTGCCGCTCTTCAAGATTTCAATTATAGCAGGAATTGCTCCTTCTTTGGCTATGATTCTTTTGTTCCTCTCATCGATCGACAAGTTCAACAGAGCCGTGACAGTGTGTTCTTGGATCTTCGAATCGGGATAAGGTATCAGGCCGACCAGAGCAGGTATTCCACCATGCTTAGCGATCAAAATCCTGTTATCAGGATTCTCCTTGGAGAGCATGCGGATCTTCTTCACTGCCTTCCGCTGCACATCAAGATGAATGGAGGACAAATCTCTCACCAATGAAGGGATCTCTTCCTTTTGCTCTAAATGATCAGAGTCCTGGTCTGCATCTCTTTTCAACAGCTCAACTTGGTTCTTCTCACACCACTGCATGATCAAGTTACGAAGAGCATAGTTTGGAGCTAAAGAGAGGTGAGCCAAAGTTTGTCTAGTCTTTGGGCAATTTCGATGACCTGCATCCAGCCACTTCTGTATGCTTCTTCGTTCATATGTCTGTGAGAACGGAGGAAAGAGCAGTTAGCAAAGATTACCTTATCACAAGACTCAAAAACAACATAATTGGAGCAACTTGAAGCACCTGTCCTGTTGCAACAATGACAGGATCCGACATGATCTCCAGAGATACAGGACAGAGGAAGTCATTTGGAATCATCAACGATGGACACTTCTCGAGGTATTTAGGCAAGGTGACGTCGCTTAACCCTTTAGAATCTTCGACTCCTGCAACTCGTTTAAATTTATTGAGCAGATCCATGATCTGCTGTGTACTGTCTGCATTTGCCCCACATCTTTCTTTGATGAGCTTTTTGATGGCCATTGTTTCAGCTCTTAAATCTGGTAGAGTTTGCAACTCCAACTTTTTCGCTAGCCTTTCAAGTATGGCTCCATCTGCGTTCCTGTCGTCCCTTTTTGAGAGCACAACCATCAAATCCATGGCAAGCTCCATGTCTTGAGTGTCGATTCTCCTCTTAGCTCTTCTTAGTTGCAAACTCATCAATTCAACCTCGAGAAAAAAAAGAAACAAAAAGAAGTGAGAATGAAAAGCTATCCATGTTGAATTTAAAAAGTAGTAATCTATGATGTTCAAAAAAAATATATATCGATTCCTTTTATCTTTTTTTGGGTGCTTAATTAGAGATATTTATCCTTCTTCGTTTGGTTATACTTTTCGAGTTTTGTGAAAAGCATTTAGAATTATTGATAATTCAATCAAATCTTTAAGACATAAAAACAAAAATTAAGCCTATTTAATATATTGAAATAATTCAGTAGAGCAATTAACATCAGCAACTTAGGAAAAGATGGCTACCTGTTCTTTGACTTCATCCGAAATAACAAGCGCATCATACGGCATGCCCTCTAATGCCTGATTCATTCTGTCATATACCATATGAAACCTCCCCATTACCGCCTCACTCTCCAATGCCTAAAAACCACCAGAAGTAGAGAGACAGAAAGGACTCAGATCAAATAGGAACTCAGAACACGAAAGGGTTTTGGAGATCGTGAACATCACACGAAGCGCAAACCAGATAGATCTTGCTCCCGTCGTGGCAGCACCTCAGCAACTTCCTGGCAGCGGAGAACGCCTTAAGCAGGCCACAAAGCCGGGCGTAGGCGGCGTCGGGGATAGGGTACTCGAGGTCCTGCAACTCCTCCAGCAGCGGCGCCACCAGCTTCATCCGCCGCACCAGGTTGAAGGACTCCTTCCGCTGCGTCCGCCGGTACTCCCCGAATGACCCAACGGAGTCGATGATCTCCAGCAGCTCCCCGACCAGGTCGGCCACGTCGTGCTCCTCCCCCTCCTCTCTTCCTGCGCCGGCCGCCATCGCCGCGGGGTTGGTCTTCTCCCCCTCCACGTCTCCCATGCTAAGACTAGGTTCAGTAGTTGGAACAAGGAACGGAGGAGGTCGGGTCGATCATGGGGACGACGACTGGAGGGCTGGCGCACAAGAAACCCCAATCCGAACGCTTGTTTCCAAATTTGTACCGGAGAAGGTTTCGGAGAGACGACGGATGGAGAATAATTCTCGCGCGCGCTTCCGCTTCCGCTTCGATGATATAAGAATAAAGGAGGGGATGTTTACCACCCGTTGGTTCGTTGGAGTTCTGCGAGAGGGGACGACTCCGGAAAGCATCGGAGCAACCTGCAGCTATAATTAGTCTGTTGCCGGTTTGGAGCTGTTGGTAGACCGTTAGCACCGTAACGCCCATCAAACAAGAAACTAAATCACCGCCAGTAATTCGATTTTACATAAAATAGATAGATGCCTTTTTCATTTTTTGTAAATATATTTGATAGAAAAACATATTTAGGAAATTATTAATAGAACAGTGTCATCCGAAAAAGATGAATTACTAAATAATTCTCTAAGTGAATTGCCACTTATATGATTAAAATGACTGCATCTCATCCAAATTTATATCTCTTGGGATATTTCTTAAGGTCATGATTTTTCTTTCTCTTAGATTGAATGAAAGTTTCATTTCATATTTTTTAAATTTCTAAAATAATATCATCTAAAATTATAATATTATCAAAATAATTTAGTGAGAAATCAATATTATTTGTATTTCTATAAGGTGAAATTTTATTTATTTATTTATTTTAAAATTTTATTTTGTATTTACTTATTTATTTTATATTTGGGCTATAAATTTTTTTATAACCGTCACTATTAATATCATGAGTCAAATTCATACTTTTTATAACCGTCACTATTAATATCATGAGTCAAATATCATGAGTCAAAAAGATCACAAAGGACAAGAGAGACATGACGAACTTATAAACCCTTAGTTCTTAATACTCCTCAATCAATATGAGACTAAATAATCTTATCGCTATTAAATTTTTAACTCTTAATTGCTTTTATTGATAGTGGAAATCATAAGATCTCCGAGCATAGCATAGCATGCTAGAAACAAAGTGACGATCTTAATCCTATCACTGTTTATTCCGAAACAACATGCTGCTTGCTGTTCTTTCCCTGAAACATGGATGAAAGATGAGCCATCATCACTCCTCCACCAGCTGCTTCAGATTGATGGGAGCAGCAAACTCCAAGGAGCCACCGTAAAACGCCAACCCCGCCCTCGCCGACGTCGCATGCGTCGGGTGGATCCTATCCCAGAAAAGGTACTGGTTGCGGTTCCCGCAGTAGGTGGTGTTCGGCGAGCAACCCGCTTCTGCTCCCAGCTTCCCGCCTCCGCAGCATGCACTCTTCACATCCTTGTACCCTAAAAAAGCACCAATGTACGCTACTCGTCAGATGATATGATCTCGCGGAAGCATTAATGTGGTAGCAGTCGAAGTTACGTACCGACGCCCGCGGGATCGGCAATCATGCTGAGAACGACGTTGTAAGAGCTTCCGATCGTGTACCTCATGCCGTCCAACTTGGAGGAGAGGTTGGCCAAGAGAAGCTTGATTCGGTCGTTTACGCCCTTGGCCAAGCCGTTGAGTCCGTCGATGCATGCTCCTAAGGGATGCTGGCTTCTCGAGTACGGACAGCACCCGATGGGCGGCACGTCGATGAGCGCGAACTTCCTCGCTCCAAGATCATACAGCGCCTGCCGACGACAGAGAAGGAGTGATCGTAAGATGTGGGTCGGAGCATTAATCACGTCTAGTTTGAACAGTGTGCACCTTCAGATGGATGCTGTAGTTAGCCACCATGGCATCGTAGAACTGTTGCGTCTCGGCAGCGCTGGGAGAGCTGTTGGTGGCGAAGAAGAAGGCGAAGACGTCGTTGCCGCCGGAGCTGATGAGGAAGACGGATCGGGACAGCAGATATTTCGCCCTGGACGCGTTGGTATGCGACACGATGTTCGATGCGAGCGCTGCAAAGTCTTGTACTTGCTTTGTCATGGTTATCGTGCTCCCCTGATGGATCGGGACGGAATGCAGGGGTGATCAAACGAAGGAGGAGATGGCCAAGCGAAAGAAAGATCATGAGCGGCATGCATGCTTACTGTGGTGTCGAGAATTCCGGATCCACCAGACGCAAAGTTGACGCCTCTCAGGCCTCTCAGGATTGGCGTGTGGGTTTCGTTGACGATGGAAAGATACGGCGGCGGGCTCCTTCGGAAACCCATATGGATTGCTGCACATACACGTCCAAGACAACAATCGTTCATACAGCAAGAAAGCGGAACACAGTGAGTGGACAACACGTCACACGAAAGCAACTTGAAACTCCACACATGGTTGGTAAACAGCACCCATCAGTTTTGTTGTGTTGCGATCTCATCAGGCGTGGTGATGGAACGTTCCCTACTGGACTGGTCTTTACCATATAGAAAGATAAGGCTTGCTCACTTTCTGATCTCTTGCATCATCCTTTTGTCTTCATCATGAGCAGCTGTGCATGGTGAGTGACTTCCACTATGAGCTTTGGTAGAGTTTGTTTGTAGGTCATGAAAGATGGTATAAAGATGTCATCTCGGTCATTCATTTATCTCAGAGAAACGATGAACTTGTAACTAAAGCCATGTCCATTAATGGCATAAAAGTTGCAGGCTTTCACCACCCTTAACTAAGTTACATCAAGTACAGCTTGCTGGGTTATATCACACTATAAAAGAACCTATGATTCCTTCCTTAATACACACACTGTAGCATCTCATTCTTCATGTGCAGACTCCTTTTTCTTTAATACAGACCATTCTTTATCTTGCAAAGACAAGCTTTTCCAGTGGCTCTGTGACTCCTTTTCTATACAATGGATCATCTCAAGAAATCCATATCATCTTTTGATCATGTCAACCAATCTAACAGTTCATCAGTTCATGTCAACCATGTCCATTAACCGCGGTTCGATTTCAGTTCTTGATTTTAAAATATTAGAATCGATGATTTCGGTTTCAAATCGATTAAATAGATAAAAATAAAAATATAATATAATATAATATAAAACTGAAACTAAAATTTAGATTTAAATTTTACTTTAACTTTTTTCTAAAAATTAAAATTCAGCAGATCAAACTAAACCAGAGATTGTCATTCCGAACCGAAACCATCTGGAAGCGCGGCCACCCCTACCCATGACCCTTGTGTTCTTGTGCTTCTTCTATGTCGATGGACATTGCTCGGCTAAACAAACACTATCATAGGAGAACTACTTACATATGAGCTCAAAAGCATGATCATGATATCAAGGAAGGCGGACGTACCCATGAAATCGACGCCGTTGTAGCCGTTGCTGAACCTTCCGGTCGGCCTCTGGTGCGGGAAATCAATGCCGTAGTGAGGGAAGTTTGCCTTGGCGTCATCTCCCGGCAAGTAGTTGTTGTTGCCGACGTCCGCCGTGGAGTCGCCGAAGACGTAAACCGCGGGAACCTTCGGCTCGGCGGAGACGACGACAGCAAGGAGGAGGAGGAGAAGGAGAAGAAGGACCGGCCTCATCGCCGCTGCAGCAATTATTGGCCTCTCTACTTTGCGCAGGGTGGAGGGGGGGGGGGCCTCTCCTTTGTGGTGGGGGAGGCATTTATAGAGAAACGTCAAGAGGAACTCCTCATTATGGCGCATACTTTGTCTTCTTACATGACGGCGAAATGCCAGTGTGAACTGTGAACGTTGACCGTGGACTTTGACTCGATCCGCTCACGTTTGTAGCCGAAAGGCCATTTCATCTACGTGTCATTGGAAATTTGATGGAAATACATTATGCATTATACATTAAACGAATGTAGAATTTGAATATATTGACACATTTGTTTAGAATCGATATAATAGTTTATCGTAGCAAAAGCAAATCATTATTTATGGGGATTAATTAGAGACACTTATTCATTGTCCACATTATTAAAATAACATCTTGAATTGTAATCAAATAATAATAATAAAAATAATAATAATAATAAAACTGAATTAAATATGCAAGAGCTTAACTGTTGTAGTTGTCGATCGAGCTGTCGACTGATAGGTGTTAACCATGTAGCATCAAGGTATTGATCATATAATACTAGATAATCAACTATGTGATTGGTATGTATTGATCACGTAACGTTAGATTATCGATTACATATGTATCAATTATATCATTATTCGACCGTCGCAACAAAAATATATCTGTTTTTGTTTTTGCATTAGTGTCTCAAATTTATTTAACAAATTTTTATATCTTTTTATTTTTCAAATCAATCATAATATTTATTTAAAACTACAAAATAAAATATTTATGAATCGGTACAGTATAAAGACGAGATAAATAAAAATAAAAAAACAAAGTAATAAATATAATATTTCACATCACGATTCTTCTTATGACCCATTCGGATCACGCGACCCATTATTTAAATCCTATAACATCAATGACACTCCGCAACGAATTGGTCTTAATAAATACTTAGTCGGAGTCAATATCGGTGGCTAATTAATTAATAAGGTATATATATTTATATATATATATATTTTAATTAATAAGGTTGAGTTCATGTCGAGATGTGGTGTACCAATTAAAGTGCTTTTGGGACTTTATAGCTTACTAAAATGGATCAAGTGCTCGGCCAGGCTGTGCTCACTGTGAACTCGGACCGCCTGCCATCTGTGATCGCAAATAAAAAACTAAGCTGGCAAAAATCATTAGATTATATGATAAATTATAGAACAAGAATAATGTAGCCCGATATGGTTCTCCATATATGATTAGGTACTATTGTGAGGGTCACTCAAATGAAAAATGCACATCTCTTTCAATCATTCTCACACTTCAAATGGAGATTTCAATGTCAAAGCCTTCTCAAGGACTAGGAATGATGAGCTTTTTTTATGTGTAGTAACTTTTCTTCTACTTAGATCCTCTATAGAGTCATTTTCTTTGCATTTTAATTATGAGGAGATTCATAGAATATAAAGGTTTATGAAAGAGTTTCTATGTTTATTAGAAACCATTTCTTAATAGAACATCTAACTTTAACTGGCAACAAAAAAATAAACAGCTACATATATAAGAAAGAATAAACACTTCTCAAGAAATCTTCCCATGCGCTTTAGCATTTAATTATGGACATTATGAATATGAAATATATTTTGAGGTGTTCATAGAACTCCATATCTAAAAAACTCATTTATTAATAGAACATCTTATTTTACATCACCGTGAAAAATAAATAGCTACTGATTATTTTCTGAGTCATCCATAACCAAATTAAGGCTTCAAAATAGAGTGTATATTATACACAAAATTCTTCTCTTTTCTTGCTAATTTCCTTTTGGTCCAATGTGTTTGTGAACAAAACTACAACATGGAAGAGGCATGGTTGTCTGTTTAGTCATGCAACATACAATTCTGCTTTGCCATCAATGAACAGGCTCATGAACTCGTCTCCGTCGACAGTCTCCTTCTCGATGAGAAGCTGTGCCAGCTTGTGGAGGATATCGCTGTGCGTGGTTATGATTTGCTTGGCCCTGGAATAAGCCCTCTCCACAAGCTCTCGCACCTCAGCATCTACCACATCAGCAGTTGCCATGGAATAATCTTTTTGAGTTGACATCTATCAAACAACACAATCATGCGTGCCATCATCAGTACAAGCCCGGATATATAAAGATCTAGGAACATAAGCTGAAATGGCTACATGTTCAAATACCTGTTGACCCAGGAATGGATTACCACCAGACCCACCTATGGCTACCTGCCCAATCTTTTTGCTGAATCCAAACCTCTCAACCATCTGTCTTGCCACTCGTGAAACCTGCATGAAGTCATTTGAAGCTCCTGTTGTGACATTCTCTTGTCCGAAGATCACCTCTTCTGCCACCCTGAAATGCAGCAAAAATACATGGTTGATGGATGTAGTGATGATGTACAAAAGAGTTGGAGAAGTTTAGCCGGGAATATCCTTGCTCTTCTTTCTAACCTTCCTCCGAGGGCAACAGCCATTTGGTTCTCTAGGTAACTTCTGCTGTAAAGTCCTGACTCGAGTCTCTCCTCACTTGGGGCAAAGAATGTAAGACCACCAGCTTGACCTCGAGGAATAATGGAGATCTTGGCAACTGGATCATACTCGGGCATGAGTGCCCCCACAAGGGCATGTCCAGCCTCTAACAAAACATTGAAATATCATTTCATTTGAAACATATGGCAAACTGTAAAAATTGAAGCTCAGTTTATGAGACACTAACCATGATATGCTACCAGCTTCTTCTTCTCATCTGATACAACTGCGTTTTTCTTTTCAGGTCCTGCAATTATTCTCTCCAGAGCATCTGAAATTTCATCCTTGCTTATCTCCTTTAGGTCTCGTCTGGCTGCAAGAATAGCTGCTTCGTTCATCAGGTTTTGCAAATCAGCTCCAGTGAAACCAGGGGTTCTTCTAGCAATTTTCTCAAAATCTACATCCTTAGCAAGTGCTTTCCCTCTTGAATGAACCTATAAATAGAAAAGGCTTTTACATGCACCATAACAGGAATCATTTACTAGCTACGATTAAATTCTGAGAAAATTGATATAAGAGATTAAATTACGTCTGCAACTTGTAGAATGGGCCCTAGTAACGGTAGAAGACCATTTCAAAATCATGAAGAAATTAATTAGTTATGCAGTATAAATTTTCAGGTGCTTGAATTTTTTGCAATGACACCTTGACTAGGCATACTCATTCTTACAGATGTAAGATATGAACATATTGAATAATTTTGATGAAAAACACGTTGGCAAATTTGTGTTTAGCTACAGTTAGCAGATCATTGATTCCATGTAACCTATACAACTTGCTGTCAGTAGTTGCAACATTGAAATTAAAATGACTGAACATAATCGAGAGATGAGAAAGAACAAGAATAGCCATTAAATTTAAACTAAAATTTAAGCGGAACCAAACCATCTGGAAAGAGGTGATCTGCAATACAATTTACACCTGAAACAGTAAATACGAATGGTTTTGCAATCCCTCATAGAGTCTCCATGTACTTTCCTTTTATCTTATAAAAAATCCTCGCAATAGTAGTGTTTTATCTTCCAATTCACAGTTTGTCTCTTGCTTAATTTGCAGATGTTACTATGCTAGATGATTATTACTAATTTACTACCTCTCAATCCAAACCTCTTACCGTGCTTTCTTGATTTTATGTGTGCTGATCTAGTGAGCACAGGCTGTAAGTGCTTTTTGGGTTAATAGATTTACTCTTTTTTCTGGAAAAAGAATCCAAACCTCCTCAAGAGGGGAACCACTTTCCGTCACACAATTTGTAACAAAGTGGTCGAATGAAATATTGATTTAATATGCAAGCTATTTGAGGGCAACTTTGAAGTAGTAAAGCTTTCGCATCAAAGACATAACATAAATTGGTTGTCACTCGTACAAGGTATAATCTGATGATAACCTCATAAATTCCGCAATTGTCGTTTTGCACCATAGGCTTGGAAATACTTCATCCTATATTACTTTTCAAACACGTGTTATCGCAGAGCAGTTTTGGAACACTTCATCCTTATTATTTTGCAACACAAAGATAGTTTAGGCAGCAGTTGCCTATCCTTGGATGGTAGTAGTCAAGCTAAAATAAAGGTTCTCAACAAAATCACATAGCTTGATCAAAGACTTACTGGAAGAAAAACCAATAATCTTAAATAACCGATTTCAAAGAATTAAAAACTACAAGTTAAAACTTCTTTAAATGGTTCAGACACTTTCTGCAGAACTTAACAAGAAGCCATAATGTCTCAACTATTTGGGTCACCTACATGGATAATTCCTACCGTTGAGCAAGGATGATCCAGCAAGAAAATTGTAATAGTGTGTGTCAAATGTAAAAAACTGCATCTTTGTTTAGCATTCAGCTATGTGTCACCATATAATATAAAATAAACATTCAAACACCATCTTGATCATACTAAAGCGGATAACAGACTAAACCTAGATCCAGATGAAATTTTTTTTCCAGTAATACATTAATCCAATATTCAAGTACC